ACTCCAACTGAAACATCGCACACAAAGGAAAGATAAGCGTAGAGGAAATCCAAATGTGTTGGCAATACCACTGCATGTTAAAAAGAAAGAACGAGATTCATGTTGAACTTCGCTTCGGCCATGCATAGCTCCTCTTTCCATAGGTCCTATTAACTTCAAAGGGAGCTCCGTGCATGTAAATGATTATATTTATTGGATGCGCCAATCCTTCTTATCCTCCGGGCACAATTAGAAATATCATAGAAAATGAGTGTTAGAGGCTTGGATCCATATTTGATATTCTATGGGAAATTTCCCATCGTTACAGATGTTAAAAATCCTGTGCAACAGTCCTGCTATGAATTTGTAGTACTCACCATTTTATATCCTTGGAGTTACTTTTCCCCCTGTGGTTTTAGAATGATCTGCTTACAATGAAGGAAACTTAGTCTCTTTATGTCTGTATAGAGTGGTGGTAGGCTCTTTGCTGATATACAACTTGGTCTAATATAATACAAATTTAGACTGCATAGGCCCTGTCTCAAGGAACTGTTAGTGCCTTCCTAAGATTAGCCCATAAACACAGCAATTATGGTGTTGCTTTCATTTTACCTTGGGAACTGCTATCAGAGTCAATACCAAGATCTAAATTCCAGGATGCTCAGTTTCATATTCTATCCACTAGACTACACTGTGATTTCAGGATTCATTGTAAATTCAGGCATTATCTCTATCTTGTTACATAGTGAGTTTTCTCTGGGAGGAATCTCTTGAATCAATGAAAACCTCTTAGTGTGTACAGAGCCCCGTGCCTTTGACAGCAATTTGTTGCTTATTCACTCTATATTCAGGAGTCTTTCAAGATAATGGAAGTGTCTCCAAGACTGACTGTGACAAAGACCTGAATGTCCTCATTATGTTGTATCAGTAAATATAAAGAGCCTATAAATGCTACAGACACCTAGCCTCAGCAAAACTGTGGGTATGTGTTTGTGCGTTTATAAATTTATCTAAGAGGACAAGTTAATATTCAACTGTACAATGCTTTAAACTGTCACATGGAGGGAAATGAGCCTTTCAAAATAAATATAATAAATTGCTATGAGAGAATATTATAATTACATGATGAAAATATCTGTACTGTAACATACCCACATATAATTGGTGGACTTAAAGTTTCAAATCCTCCTGTAGTGCTTTGATAAGCAATTAGTTACAAAGATTCTTCTTTTCATGCCCACCTCGTACACCAACAAATAAAACTACATCAAAGTAATTTAGGTCCATCTTGAATTGTTCATAATAAATAAATAAGAAGAGGCTAACTTCAGTAAATATGTATAAAGGAAAATAATCTGAAGTCTATATAGCAATCAAATTTCTAGCGAAAATATGTGTAAGTGGGTTTATTTTGAAAGGAAAAGTCCTACTCCCAGTGTCATAACCAATTAAATTCTCCAGGTAATGACCCCATTTGCATAGTGAGCGGAACCCACAAGTGGGAATTTTAATGGGTACACCACCTGAGTGCAGTAATTGAGAGTGACACAACTTGAACTAGTTTTGTGCTTACCTCACTGAAAATTCTACTCAGATTATTTTGAATGTCAAGCTACAAGTCAAATTCCAAGATGATGGATTTGTTCTTTTTTAAGCACCAAGTTTGAATAAAAGAAATGCATTGCATATCTTTGCTTTAACTAATCTGTGTTTCTGTTTCTCCCCATTGCTTCATTTTCTTCAGTGACTGGAATTTAATTTTATTCATTAATTTGTGAATAATTAGATAAAAAGAAATAATGTCCTCAGTAGCTAAAGTGCTTTTGGATTGCAATTTAATGTACTTTTCCCAGAATATATGCTATATAGTTAAACTCACATAACGGTTTACTAAAAGGTAATTGTGTAAATATGCCCAATTATTCTTTCTGATGATCTAACAAAATTTAATGTAGTGAGTATTCTCAGATATTTCCCTTGTCCCTTACCCTGACGCTGATAAAACACACTTTCTTCAGAGCTGATCAGAGATGACTTGTCATCTGAAAGTGTTACTTCTAAGATATTCTCTGTATCTCTCGGGCACTATTCATGTCCTTGAAAGAACTGTGCACTCTGATTGAGGGATCAGATGACGGCCACATTAAATTATATAATAAAGGAGATTTTAAAACTCTAAGAGTCAGACGCATGATGAACTGTGCTTTCCAGGTTTTGAGGTGACATTCAAAATCTCTTTTGTTTCACTCTAAGATTGCTTTCAGTACTGTTTGTAGGTGTTTGACACTACTCAGCCACATCTGTAATTGGCATAGCATCCAGCAGACAGGCTCTGTACATCTTTACACTGCAACCTACCAAGTTAAGAAATGTATTGGTTCAATATAAAACAGCAGGCTGTTTTTAGACATAGTTACTAGTGCACAAGCTTTAATATGGCTTGGCTTCATCTTATAATGAGATCTTTTGGTTCCCTGCTCAACAGACTTTTATTCCTTTGGAAAAGGCTGTGAACTATGTCAAGTGGCTCGGATGCTTTTGTCCACCCTCTTTCTTGGCTTTGGAATGTAATTCCTTTGCTTCTAGCCCTTTATGCATCAGACAGAACTTAAGAACTGTTTCAGTTTTTCAAGTTCAACTTAGAATTTCTGTGTTTGAATTTGCTTTTTCCCCTATTCTGTTTAAAAAGAATAATTTCTTTCTCAACTAAATTTCACTATAGGGGCTGCCCAGAAGTAAATACCTAATTGTAGAGCTACACTTTCCTTTGTCTTCAACAGAGGCATCCTTAGCTGAGGTTGGCTAATGTGTCAAAAGACAGGTTTTGTAAAATGATCTCTTCATAGCAGATAAATGACTCTTGGTTTGTATTCATCAAATAAAGTAAGAGGAGCATCCAAAATAGAAATAATGCACAAACAACAGAACTAGGAATGTGAGCTTCTGTCCAACTGGGAGACACGGGACTACTTATCTGACAGTTGGCTGCTTCTGAGTTTTAGTTGTGGCCCTTGTGGAGAACATGCTGTGCCAGCATGATGAGAACAGTGTGGGACAGGTCTTTGCCCTGAAGGATTCTGGTTTTTAGCTGGGGGTGTGGTCATGACTTTGACCTTCTTCTCCAGATTAGCTGCTATTGTCACTAAAATTTGATCTCATAGGTAGTGTTTTTGGGCATCATCCCTTATCTTTTAAATATCTATCTATCTATCTGTCTATATCTATCTATCTATATGAGAGAGAGAGGCTGCATGAGTTTCCATGCACCATGTGCATACAGGTGTCAAGGGAGGGTGTCAGGTCCCCTGGAACTGGAGTTAGAAAGGTGGTTGTGAGTGCCCTGGTGTGAGTGCTGTTAACCAAACCTAGATTATTTTGAACATGGGTTCTCTGAAGGGGCAAGAAGTGCTCTTAACATTAAGCCACTTTCCCAGCTCCACAGATATGGACTTTTTAAAGGAAAAGCAGTAACATTGTTCACTGGGAATTTTTTTAGTAGTACCATACATGGTAAATGAAGTAACCAGTGACCATTTCTGCTAAACCAATTTCCATATTAGGGCTGTACAACAATGCCATTGTTCCCATAAACTTTTTTTTCTATTTTAAACCAATCCTCTAAAAATAATCTTAAATAGTTAAGCATTAATGGAAGCCTCTCTCAGGAGCTAATGTCCTCCCCCAGATATGTCAAGCTTCTTGCTTGGGTTGAAATTTCCTGAGCATCATGTTATTTCCTTGGGGTACCTAGTACCGATTCACTCACATACCAAAAACTTACAGAGATGAACACTGCAAGGAGTCCCCAGCAATAAAAAACACTTGGTTGAAACATAAGTAGATGTGAAGGAAAAACTAGCCATATATTAACCAGTGTTTCAAACAAATTGGCATGCTATTGCATTAGTGTAGGAAGAGGGGAAAAATAACATTTGATGAAATCTTATTTTCTCTCAGATTAGATGAAGCAATCCTATGGACCTATAATTCACAAGTAATTGAAAAGGTGGAAGGATTTGAAGTGTTAAATTAAAAATGATCTTAGCTGTGTTATTAATTAGTACCAAATATTAATTTTATATTAGTAAATGATTGATTAGGAATATGGATATACCTAAGAACTAAGTAGAATTGCAGAAGGCAAGCAATACAGTTCCTTGGCCGGAGCCTTGTTTGTTAGGTAGTGATCTTGGGTGTACAGAACTTGAGCATGGAGATTTTATGGATAGAGCATGAAAAGTTATTACATGGCCATTCTTTGATCTGGTCAGATAACACCTAATGTTTAGAAGAGTAAAATCGTTACAGGAGCCCACTGTAGAGACATAGAATAATTTGGGAGGGGTACTGATAGGAGGGAATGGAAGGGAGATTGCAGTCAGGATGTATTGTATGTAAAAACAAATTCTCATGAATAGTTTATACCACTGTTTTTGTTAAATCTCAACTTCAAAACATCTCCAAATATCTGCCATAGTTGTCTCAGGTAGAAAGACATCTGACAATGGGGTCTTACATAAAATTCATTGAAGGCAACACCCAATTTTGTAACTTGGAATACTTGAGCTTGCCATTCAGTGTCAGCATATACAAAACAATTTCTTCAGTTTCATAAATTAAAATGAATTTCTTAGATAAATAAATGAAATCAGTCTAGTAAAAAAGTAAATACTAGTGGGTCATTCATGACTAATTCCAGCACTTGGAAGGCTGAGAAGGGGGACTGCTTTGATATTGAAGTTACAGTGGGCTATATAATGAAGTGCAAATCAATCTTGGTTACTGTATGAAATCTTATCTCAGAAAAGGAAGAAAACAGGAAGGGAAGGATGGGCAGAGGGAGGGAGAAAATGGGTAGGAAGAGAGAGAGAAGGGAGAAGATAAGGAAGGGAAAAGGCGGGTGGAGGGAATGAAGGAAGGAAGAGCAGGAAAAAAGAAGCTTATATTTTACACTGTGAATATTCAAAAGAACACTGTATTTTCATAACAGGGCAGCAATGACTTGTGGATAAAATACCGCATATATTTCTCAGTTTATTACTGAGCATGAGCCTTGTGGTCTACATAAGAAGCTGGGAAAGACAGACTAGGAAATTTTTCGGGAAGAGATATAAAAGGGTAAAGAGATTTTTCAGGTTTTACATTATCATTGAAATTATTTAAATATAAGGCAACTAACATATTAATTATGTATAAAAGGATATTACAGCACAATAAAGAATTAATTTTTTAAATTTTACAATATCCAGGGTAATACAGCTCCAGTTTGAAAATATGCCACATTTAATAAGTGACAGAATATCTAACTGTAAACTATAGCAATTAGTCTTGACGGCCATAGGATTCAGCAAAACACTACATACTAAAATCCTAAAATATATTGAAACTGTTTTCACATTTGCCTATTTTTCTTTTGAATTATACAAGATGCCTTAAGGAATGGCTTGCCAGGAGTAGAGAACTGAAGAAAAGTCCTACATGTATTATGGAAATTAAATTCTAGTATTCACCAATGCTCAGTATTACAGAAAAACATTTTAAATCACTAACATTTACCTTGCAAATCATAGTGTGGCATATTTGAGCATCAGACAAACCCATCAGTTAAACAGTTTTACAGGATAACAAGTCAAATATTCCAACAATCATTAGGAGGCTTATCTACAAACAGATGCTTTTCTTCATCCTATGACATAAGCATAAGCGAACGTTGGGTATAGAAATACTACGATTCCCATTGTATTTGACACACCAAATGAAGAAGGCAGCTGTATATTAGCATTGCATTTAAACCAACATTTTAAAGTGAATGCGTGCATAAATTGCACTAGAAGGGGATTCACTTGCATTTCTTTTTCAAAGACTATTTAAAATAATAATTTAATTATAAGCTAGGCTTACTTTCAAAGGAAAAGTGAGCATTCTTATTCCTCATGTGAAAAAACAAAACAAAACAAAACTTCAGGTCTCCTAAAGGTCTAGAGGTCTAGGTTGGCTAAAGGCTTCCTAAAATGAATTGTTTTCAAATGGAACTGGAAAGAACCCCTAGTCCAAATATATTTTCAAGAGCCTACAAAGAATTAGTCAATGTAAACAAATTTTAAATTTGAAGGGAAAAAAATTCATGGGAGAATGTGTGTGAAACTGAACACTCAGCTTTCATATGAGCTGAATCCATTACTATGTAGTTAGTCTCATCACACACATACTTCTATATACTTTTAGTGTCTTTATAACCTGACACATTGGCATAATTTAATACACAATTGGAATACTGATACCTGGGGGTGGTGTTGGACATCTGAGCTCCCCCGTAGCCGATCTAAGATGCACATGCTTGTGAAATACAAAGACTATGGCTATAAGCCAACCAAAATAAATAGACCACCCCTAAACACTCCCACATAAAGAACCAAATCTTTCAAATACATGTGAGCTTTGGAAAAACCTCAAATCAGAATACTGGGATTTTTTTAATCTTAAAAAAACTAATTTAAATGAAAGTTGTTAAAAAGTGTTCTACATTTTTGGTAAAATATAGTTATGTTAACAAGGTATTATGTTTTCATTAAAATTTATAACACTTAAATTATGTGCAGAAAAGTGCATATTTGCATTAGTTCTGATTTTACAGTTTTAAGAAAGCCGTGTTGCTGAAATGTGCAGTGAAGGCACATTCTTTTTACTTGTTCGGAACATAAGACGGTTCAGGCCTCCGACCTTAAACTTTTTCCCATATTTAAGTAGCTCATCCTAAGGCATCCACAGTGCCGCACCCTCCTTCAAGCCTTCCTGAAAAGACCTGTTCTTCACTTCTGTTTATTCTTCTGGCCTCTTTCCTTTCCACTTCTGACGCCAGCACACCTTCTGGTTCACTCTTTACAGCTCCCACCCAGCTGTCCTCCACTACACTGCCTGCTGCTCTGAGAGAGCACAAGGACCTCCCTCAGCACCCTCTGGATAGAACACTGGAGGTGGGAAGCGCACAGAGAGACCAACATGGAAAGCTCCACATCTGTTTGCAGCTCTGCCCAATGAGTGTGCTTACTTAGAATGAGGAATATTCACTTTTAACCTCTAACAGATAAACATCAAAGATAAGCGATCCGGTTGAAATACCTACAGAGCAATGTCGGGTTTAGGGCAAAGAGCTGCTGAAAATGATTAGGAGAAACAGATATGTCAACAGAAAGAAGATTACAACATTGTTGGCTGTGTGTGTCAAAATGTCTTCAAATTATTATCATCTATGAAGAAGCTTCAAAAGCCAGTTAGTCAAAACTTCACATATTAAACCACATAGGTCTAGTGACAGAAAAAGAATTTCGGAGATTACTTAAAAATGAGTTAACAGTGCAAACACTGAGTTGCTTCACGAGAATCTTACCATGTGCTTTTCTTTCTCCTACAAGAAATATTGTAAAATTGTCTCCAGTTTTAATACAAACAAAAGATAAGTGTTTATGAAGGAAAGCAGATGCCACAGCATTCCATACAGATTTCTAAACAGTCCGAGGATTCACAACAGGCATCCATGATGCCACAGTCCATGTCACAAGGGCAGTTGCAGTCATCACCCATCTCGTCGCCACAGCAACAGCAGCAGGCTTCGGAGGTGCAGATGCCACATGAAGCTTGTCCAAGGACAATATTGCAGAGGGTCAGGAATTCACAGAACAAGCAGGCCAGGATACAGTGGACACAACAGTCTTCATTCACAGGCCAGAGGAGAGCACATAGTGGAGAGAGAAGGGACACAAAATATACATGTCATCCAAAGACTGTGGGAAAAAATAACTGGTCCCAGTTACAGCTCAAATGATACACCGCCCTAGACCTCTGTTGTTGATTGTGAGTTAGATGTACACCAAAGAGCTCAAGTTAAATTCTAGATGAGTGACCTGTAGATGTAGACACTGGACTAGAAATGTGAGCTGCGATTGCGTGCATGACTGCGCATGTGTGTTGGATTATCACTATGACCCACTGTGTCACGCCTCTTGGTCCCTGGTATCACTTCTCTGTATGTCTTACCAATTGTTCCTACAACCTACTGTTCTCAGTAGTACTCTGCTGAAATAAATTTCCAAAATAGAAAATGTATTTATTTGTTCCACACATAGGCTTCAAAACTGGAAAGAAAATTTATAAAAATATTAGACACGTTAATCATTAATTCAATATTTAAACTAGAGTCCATTAAACCATGATCCACATGTTTTCTTTTCCAATCAACTCACTTTCATTTTTCTTTTTTTGTTACAAAAACATTTTAAGAGAAACAGTGAGACTCTCTAGTTGGGTCCAACTATAATTGCCCATTTTAGGTACTTCTGAAAAGAAGGATAGAAAAAACCAAAAATTATAAAGTGGCTTTACCTCTGGTGACAAAGTACTTTAATCTCTATCATTTCTTGATGCCTTCCTAAGTAACACCATATTTTATAAACTGATAGGAAAAAACAAAAATGCCATATAGTATACTTATTATACATACTACTAACATATTTCTTTAAAAAATTGGGACATATTGAAGGATTACCTGGTGGTGATTTCTTGATCCCTTAACACATGTAATAGAATCATATGATTAATATTTGAGACATCTGCCCAAGATCTGGGATATTTATACTTTTTGTTTTGGCTTGGCTTGGTTTGGTTTTGCCAGACAGGGTTTCTCTGTAATGTTTTGGAGGCTGTCCTGGAACTTGCTCTGTAGACCTTGCTGGCCTCGAACTCACAGAGATCCACATGCCTCAGCCTCCCGAGATCATGAGTTAAATGGCAGGGGGAAGACCCAAAGAAGAAAGACACCTCAAAAGATGAAGTTGTTACAGGAAAATTACAGTTCACTAAACTCACCATCACCTGAAAGGCATGGATCTACACGGTTAATAGGGAGCCATCAGAACTAACACAACAACTAAAACCCAATTACACCCAAGCACTTTGGAGCCTCTAAAACATAAACAAAGAAAGCCAGTATACTAACAAGCACCTAAGGAAGCCACAAACCAAAACTTGTAATGATTACAGTGATATCAGATAAGATATCTGCACAAGTGTGTTCATCGTCTCCTTGCCAGAGAAATAAAAGAATGGATTCCTAAATTTTAGCACATCAACTACACAGTCATATTCATTAATTGCCAAAAGGGTTTTTGCTTTTCCAAAATTATGATTTAGCACAATGTAAAAGCTCACAGACACTGAGCACAAACAGTTGTATCAGTATTTATGACTGGCTAGTGGAGTCAAAGGCCACCCAAGACATTAAAATGGTGGGGATTTACAAAGCAAGAATTGATAGTAAGAATTTTCATTGGTAGAGCATGCCAAAAAGCACCATATTGGGAGGTAGAGGCAAAGAGCAGGAACTCCAGAGGAACCTTGACTTTAGCAGAACAATGCCTCCAAACAACAAACCACATCAACAACAAAAGGAGAAAATATCTGAGAAGGTAGCATACGTTTTACTTTATAATGTCAAGATTGGAGCATCATGAATCTGAGGGCAGCCTGGGGTACATAGAGAAGATCTGTCTAAAAAAATCAAATAAATAAGTCAAGTTCGGGAAGATGAACAGAGAAACAAAGTTTTAAAAAGATGAGGCCTCTGCCTACAAGTGGTTCACTGTCCAAAAAAAATTCCCTTTCCCTGGGTCCTTGAGGTTTTCAGTTTTTATGGTTTTATTCAGTCATGATTTGCAGTTTTTGCCAAAACTGTTTAACCTTTAAGAAGCCAACTGGGTTCTGGGAAGTTTGCCGATCCTAAACTGGGCCAAGCAAGAATTGTGCAATTCAGTGTACTGAGAGGCAGACTCGGCACAAGACTGACAGCTACTGTAAAATTAGCAAAAACAAAGGAACACAGCAGCAGCCAAGGTGCTAAGAAGAAAGCATAAAAGGAGATCTTTAGCAGGACTTTAGACTTAAACAGCATCGGCAAATACAACAAAAACATACTGTTATGAATTACTGCTGTCACTGTCCCAAGCCAAAGTCACCACTGGTACGCCTGTGCAACTGCCCATCTTGCAGGGCTCACACCACCCCTAAGGTAGCATCCAAAACCATAAACAGGCCTTAGCTACTGGGGGAAATAGTCTGTGACTGATCTCAGGAGCTCTGTTTTGTTGAAAACGAAACTGAAGGCTCTGTTTGGGAGAACCGCCAGTTTCTAATGAAAGCATCCCAGATTGATTTATCTGATCAGTATAAGGCCAAATACACTAGGAAATAAAGATATCAGGGAGGCAGTTTGTTAGAGCAAACAGTTGATCAAGAGCCTTCAAACAATACTTAGGATGGTAAAGTCAGGTTTACTATAGACAAGTCTTTTTTTTTTCTTTTTCATTTCTCATTGCTTCTTGATGAGACGTGGTATGACAGGTTCTCTTAATTTCTTGGAACAAAGACCCCAGCATCAGAAGTGGAACACAGGAACTAGCAGAGAGCAGAGAATTCTCAGAATCACCCATAACCCATTTTTGAGTGAAGGAAGATTTGTACGATCTTATCTTGATTAATCTGTAATAAAGTTTCCTATGACTTAAAGTGCTTGAAAATACTTTCCTTTCTGGGTAACGGACACGTAAGGGAGATGCTGAGAAGCAAGAGGCATGTTAGCATTCTGCAAGCCAAGGAAGCAATGCTGGATCAGAACTTGCAGAGTGATAGGTCACTAGTTATTGAGAAAACTGCTTTGAGACCAGGTCTGACTCTAGTTTTACCATCCAAGGTATAGAGTATCCAGAGTTCCCCACCTCCATGCTGAGTGGTGGTACAAACCATACAGGGGCTGGGCCTGACTGGCAGAGGGCATTCCTGGTCACAGATATTGCATCACTGTTCCCAGATATGACGACGCTGTGTTTGTTGTTTCTTAATAGAGAAAGCAGGCAGGTCACAGCCATAATGGCTGAGTGTCTAGCCTTTGCAAAACATCTAGCTGGTAGGGCCCAGACACAATCATCTCTAGGGAGTTCTGGTTTTCAAATGTGTGTGGGTAGGGCACAGCAGCTCGGCTGCAAGCAAATGCCTTAATGAAGACCAGGGATGCGTGGTATACCTGGCCCCAAGCCCTAGACTGACCACCTGCTGGCCTAGAGTGCCCTGGCTGCACAGAGCCCTCTGGCACATGGCAGTCCCTCGGGCTCTGGGCCATGGCTAGAAAACAGAGGCAACATTTTCCTAATGGCGAGGAAAGTGAGCTAGGTCAGAAGGTTTTTAAAAAGAAAGTTAGCGAAGAGTTGTATTTTCCACGCAGAGCCGACTTTGGGAAAATGAACAATAGTCTTTATTATCTTCTTTCTCCTAAACAAATTCAGAAGAATATTAGTGAAAAAAAGAAAGCCTGTCCTCCTGCACCCCACCAAGGGACTCCTCAAAAGTTCCCCTACCCCACATCCAAATTCTGGGATCCACCCAGTCTAAGGGAGGGGTTACCTACAGGTTACAGGCAGAGAGCATGCCACTGTGTTTCTTCTTTCTCTCTGTTCTTTATTCTGTTGCCAGTATTGTACACGGCTAATGCACTAAGCATTCCAAATCTCTTGGTCTCAAATTACAGCACTAGTTCAAGAGGTCTGTGTGAAGAGTTGTTTCAAAGTTTAGGAAGATAACACCCATATCAGAGGAATTATTGTTTTATAGAAGTTTAACACAGAAATCTGAAGAGGCATGGAGCTTTGGGTATTAGACATGTGTCTTTAAGATTTATTATGTCTTCTCCAGGCAGTGTGGTGCATGCCTTTAATCCTAGCACTTAGGAGGCAGAGGCAGGTAGATCTCTGTGAGTTCGAGGCTAGCCTGATTTATATAGTGAGTTCCAGGACAACTGGAGCTGTTACACAGAGAAATCCTGTCTCAAAAAATGAAAAACAACAACAACGACGACACAATTACCATATTTTTATTATTTCTTTACTGTGTGTATATATGACGTGTATGTAATTGCAAGTTCTTGTTTGCCACAGTATGTATGGAGATCAGAGGACAACTTACTGGGATCATTCTCTCCTTTTAGCATGTGGGTCCTGGGGGATCGAACTCAGGTCAACAGGTTTGGAGGCAAGCCACCTATACCTCCTGAGTCATCTTGCTAGGTCAGAGATACTTGTCCAACACATTTTACATGTGAAGTTAAGTCAGCGTCTGAATAGAGAGTGACTGAGATGTGGAAACAATAGCATTTGTTTACTGAATTAGCAGGTGGGCACTTGCTAAGAGCTAGGAGTGTGGCAGTGTGGTGGTGGTTGTGGTGGTGGTGGAGTTGGTGATAGTGGTGAAGGTGTCAGAATATTGAATCTAGGAAGACTACAACTCTCCTGTGTCTCACCAGCATCAGTTTTACACCAAGCTGGGACCAGTCTCCTCAAATCCAAGAAGGTCTGGGGAAAACTCTGCTCATAGCTCAGACACAAAAGCAGAGAAAGCTCCAAAATGTAATTCCAAGAGACCGACACTACAGAAGAGTGAAACAGAAAGCTAGCCAAAAAAATTAGTAATCTGTGTCTGGCTACAGCAGAAGATGTCAAAATAATAGTCTAGTTTTCCATATTTCAGTCGTTATCTATTTTCTTCAGAAGCTAGAAAGCAGGGAGGAAAGGGTAATATTATGCTTTAGTTGAGTGCATTCAGTGCTATTTTTAAGCTGGACAGTTGAAATATATCTAATGTAAGATTAAGTATAAGTTTTGGACAAGAA